GCAGCCTCCTCCACACCCTCAGGGAGCTTTTCAAACCTTCTCCAGCTGCAGGGAAGTCCACGTTTGTCAGGCTACTGGAGAAACACAGCGATGAGTGGGAGATCATCCCCGAACCCATCGCCAAGTGGTGCAACATCCAGACAGCTGGAGACCAGTACGAGGTGGGTCTGCGGGGCTCGGGAAGCTTGGGGGGAGAGATGGGGCACGGAAGAAACCGCAGCGATCGGCTGGGGTCCCTAAATTCAACTGCTCTGAGTCTAGAGCATCCAGAGTCAGCCCCACTATCACACCACCAGCTGGTCAAACACTCAGTAGTTGTAAAGGCTACTTAGGACAATACTGTTGAATATGTATGCCAAATAACCCCTCCTGCTCCACAGGAATCACATTAAACCCTGAAAGTCAGCTGTCAAAGACTACCCATCAGCTGAGAAACAAATCTCTCATTCCTATTTTCCTAAAAAAAAAAAAATCCAAGGCCATGAATTCTTATGTCAACATACCAAAATTCTGGATTAAGAACAAGGAATAAAACCCTGCAAATATGCTGGTATTGACTTTTCTCTCTTGTCCCCTAGGAACTTTCAACATCTCAGAAGAGCGGAGGAAATCTACTCAAAATGCTGTACGATAAACCCACAAGATGGGCTTATACATTTCAGACTTACGCTTGCTTGAGCCGAGTAAGAGCACAATTAAAACCTGTCTCGGCCAAGCTACATGAAGCAGAACATCCAGTACAATTCTTTGAGAGATCTGTGTACAGTGACAGGTAATTACTCCTACAGTGCCACAAGAGTTTAGATGAAAAGCTCCAGGTCTTTGTGCTCCAAGACATGGAGCTGGGGAAACATTTGATATTAAACTGGTCTCTGCAAGGAGCAGGCCTGGTTAAACAGGTAGCAGTTGGATGGTACTCAGTACTTCATGGATCTAAGATTGTGCAGCTATTTTTTCAGTAGCATGATTCTGATTCTAGTGAGAAGTGGTGTAGCAGTTCCCTTTGGTTATTCCTGGCATGAGACTTGTCTTTCATTGCAGATATGTATTCGCTTCTAACCTGTTTGAGTCTGGAAACATCAATGAAACAGAGTGGGCCATTTATCAGGACTGGCACACATGGCTTCTCAATCAGTTTGACTCAGATATAGAACTGGATGGCATGATCTACCTAAGAACCACACCCGAGGTATGTTCACTAAAGATGAAAATACTTTAGCTCCATATTCCGTTTCCAGGAGCTTAACAGGGTACAAATCCCTAAGTATTCATGACACTGAATTAGGTCCTCCCACCCCAAATGCAATGGGAAGCCTATCATAAATTCAGGCTTCATTCAGAGAGCAAATTAAAAACTCCCTTCTGAGCTACTATTCTGATGTCAGCAAATGCTGGTTGCTAGCATCCACCACTCCATTAAGGATCCAAGGGCGAAACTGAACTTCCGAATCAAGTTTGACTTCCCTTTCCATATAGTCCTGAATTTCAGGTAATCTTTTCATAAGAACTACTGACATTTAGCTAAAGTGGCTCAAGTTTGGGCTTTTAAAGAAAATATTTACATTCAGCCAAGCATTTAAAATTACTGCTCACTAATGTCTAGCATTAGTTCTTCTGATTTAAGGACCACTTGATCTGTTTAGCTGGGTTAGCCCATTTAGCCTTCCACACATGATTTATGTCCAGGCCTGTACTTTTTTCTAGAAATGCATGGAAAGACTACAGATGAGGGGAAGAGAAGAGGAGCAAGGAATCGAGCTTGAATATTTGGAAAACCTCCACTATAAACATGAAAGCTGGCTTCACGAAAGGACTATGAGGTATGAACCCCTTCTCTGTAGGCAACTTTCAACTCATAGGCAAGGCTCTTTCCTACCTTATGCTAAAGTTGATTAGGGATAAAAATAAGGCTTAAGTCTAGTTTTACTCAGGCACAGTTGGAAGGACTTATCTTTAGACTCACTCCAGGTTTCTTGGCAGAGGCAATTACTCTAGGTTATATGCAGAGGGAAGGTCATGGCTTGGCACAGAAGTAAAAATTGCCAAGAGACAGAGCTTCATCAAATTTCAAGCCTCTGTTAAGCATTAGCTTCAACTGGAAAGCTTTCTAGCTCTAACCCCAGCAAGGATATGAATTTTGTTAACTGGAAGCACACAAGAATAGGACAGAGTTGAAAATACTGTTAGGTGACAACCTACTAAGCAGCTTCCAGTTCCAATGCAAGGGAGGGCAAGGTCCCAATCACTTTTAAACTAGGATGACTATTTCAGCAAGGGTTAAATATTAATCCTAGCTTCAAAACAAACAATAGTCAGGCTTTTGGCAGGCACAATTACACACAAGAAAGTCAGCGACTATGTGATCTCTGCATACCTTCCCCTCAACTTCCTTACTGACTCTTCCTAGCTTCCCCATCTAAGGAATCTCTAAATGGGAAAGCAGACTTTAGATTTTCCCCTAGAGGAGCCTGAAATACTCCACTGAATAGGAAGCATAACAATTCTAGGAAAGGTACATTATCAGTCACATCTACTTTCCTAAGTTTCATGTAGGATGACCCAAATGCTTACAAGGCAAGGCAGCCCTGCGTTTTGTGGAATTTTGGGAACATTGACATTGTATACTCATTCCAAACTTGTGAGCAAGCATTTCCTTTGTTTTTCACAGGAACACTTAAGTCAGCAGACACAAGTTAGAGTGGTGTTCAGCACACAGCATTTTAGAAATGCTTTTCACACACAGGAAGAACAACTACTGCTTTAAGAGAATAACACACTCACTTTCACAACTACTGCTCCTAACCTATCACCAAAATGGTCTTTCTTATCTCAGAGCCATTTTAAATATCGGTCTTGTAACCTGTTAAAGAGGTCATCCCCATGAAAGGAAGCTTTAAAACTGCATCTTCATAAATGGATTAGCAGTTAACTAGAAAGGGGTGGGGGAGATATGGGGTAAGTGATATTTTTAAAGTTATTCCCTCTTACCAAAATCAGTCCTGATAATTGACTGCATAACCAAAAAATGAGGTAAAGGAAATTAATGCAAGAAGCATAAACGATCTTTCCTCCCCTACTTAGACAATCAGAATAGATGTTAAAAGGCCAGATTTGTGAAATACAGTAAAGTTATGATGATACAATGTTGACTGGGTTATACAACAGCAACTAAGGACAGACTTGACTCAGGCTTTGCACCTTAGTCACGGGCATCAGCAATAACATCTTGGGTGCATGTGGTCATCTGAGTAATGCCGCACCCTCAGGATGACTTGGAAAGCAACTGAAGAGCTAGATTGTTTTCTACACAGTACTTTCTACCATTTTCACTAGCATTATGTTCTTCTATTTAACAGAGTTGACTTTGAGAACCTTAAAGAGATTCCCATTCTAGTTTTGGATGTTAATGAAGATTTTAAGAATGATAAGATTAAACAGCAGTACCTGATTGATAAGGCAAGTATTAAATAATGTTTCCTTGTATCTGCTTTTCTTCTGCAGTAATACCTGTAAG